CCCCCCCCCCCCAACACCGCTCCCCGCTCGACGGCTGCAGTGGGACCGGGGGTCGGTGCCGGGTGGCCCCGGCGGGAGACACCTGGGGTTTGGGTTGGGTTGTTGGGTTTTGGGTGGTTTGGTTTTTTTCCGGTCCACTGTTAACGACCTTTTGGTTTCCTATTTGCAGTTACTTGAATAAAAACATTTTATGGATGTTTGAGGCCTCTGGCTGGGGTCTAGCCCCCCCGGCAGCAGGGTGGGAGCAGGTTTTTCCTGGTGCCAGGGAGAGCAGAGGGCACGGAGCAGGTACCTTCTCCGCAGGGACGTCCGTGCTGGTGGCAGCCACCAGCCATCCTCCGCGGGGACGGGCCGGAGCTGCTGATGGAAACAAAAAGAGGCAAAACCCCGCCACCCCCCACCAAAATCCCACTTTTGGCACTTTTTCATTACCAAACCGAGTGGCGATGCTGCCCAGGCAGGGATGTGTGATGATGCCCCCCCACAACACCGGGTTGCCCCATGGTCCGACAGCGCCGGTGCTGCTGGAAACTCCCTGCCCGACGCGGGAGGCTCTTGACCCCAGTGCAGAGAAACAGGTTTATTTGCTCCAGCACACACCGCACTGCTCCTCTGCGTCCTGCCCTCCCTGCCCGGCAAAGCCCCGCTGCCCCTGCCAGGGTGCCAGCCCCGGCCGCCCCGCGCGGGGCATCTGAAGGGGCTGGCGAAAGCCAAAAAAAAAAAAAAAAAGGCGCCGCGCTGCTCCTCTGCATCCTGCCCTCCCTGCCTGGCAAAGCCCCGCTGCCCCTGCCAGGGTGCCAGCCCCGGCCGCCCCGCGCGGGGCATCTGAAGGGGCTGGCGAAAGCCAAAAAAAAAAAAAAAAAGGAAAAAAAAGGGGCTGAGGGGGGAGATAACCCCTTCTCGTCAGTGCTCTCGGGGTGGGATGGCTGCCGGGCACCCCCACGCTGCCGTGGGCCTGTCCTGTCCTTCCCGGCAGAGGCGGCAGCGCCGGTGCCAACCCCGTCCTCCCTCCCCTCCTGCGGGCAGCATTCCCTCCCGGCGCCGCGGGCACCATCAGGCCTTCCAGTCCCTGCGGGGGGAGCAGTGGGAGGAGGGTCCCCCCCAGCCGGGCACCACCTGCAAAAGAAAGCGTGTCCTCAGCACAGCGGGTGGCCCCAGCCCAGACACCCCCCCCCCAAGTGTCAAGTTGGGGGGGCAAAGTAACCCCAAATGGTGCCAGGGTGGATGGAGAAGCCCCAGGGCTCCCAGGGACAGCCCAACCCTCCCAAAAACCTTTGGATTATACCCAAACACTCTCCCAGCTCCCAAAGGTGGGTGCCCCCTTGGGATGGGCTGGCACTGGGGGCTCCCCCCCTCCAAGCCCCCTGGGGGCTCCCCAGCTTGGCGCTGCTTAATGCGGCGAAAAATAGATAAAAAGCAATTTTATCTATTTTCCATGTGAGAAATGGATAATAAGTAATTCCTGGCAGCACGGTGCCTGGCTGGCGAGCGACCCACGCAGCCCCCCGACCCACGCAGCCAGTTTGGGCTGGGTACCCAGCCCCGAAATGAAGCCCCCACCCCCCGAGGGGCACCATCTCACCCACCCGGGTCTCCTCCGCCTCCACCAGCAGCTCCTGCTCCGACTCCTGCAGCTCCTCGGCCGGGTCGTAGCTGTACATGGGCAGCAGCCGGTGCCGCAGCCGGTCCCCCCCACTCACCGCCGCCAGGAGGGCCCCCAGGAGGGTGAGGAGGAGGAAGGGTCCCAGGACGTAGCCCACCAGCGAGTCGCCCGCCGTGCCCGGGGCCGTGGGGGCCGTGGCGTTGCTCATGGCCCGACGCCGGCTCCTCTGCTCCTCATGGGGACACGGGGGGGGCCGGCCCCACCGCACGGGGGACGTCTGTGAACACACAACCGGCCCGGGAGTCACCCACCATCCCGGTAATCACCCACCAACCAGGAATCACCCAACTGCCCGGGAATAACCAACCATCCCGGGAATCACCCACAATCCAGGAAATAACCCACCGACCGGGAAATAACCCACTGCCCCAGTAATAATCCACCGTCCCAGTAACAGCCCACCGCCCCAGTAATGACCCACGTGCCCCAGGAACAACCCACCATCCCAGTAATGATCAACCATCCCAGTAATAACCCCCGACCCCAGAAGTAACCATCCATCCCAGTAACGACCCAGTAACGACCCACCGACCCAGAAATAACCCAGCGCCCCAGAAATAACCAGCCACCCCAGTAATAACCCATCCCAGTATCAACCCACCGCCCCAGTAACAACCCACCATCCCAGTACCAACCCCCCCCCGGGAATAGCCCCCCCCCGGTAACGACCCCCGGGGCGGGAAGGAAGGACCGGCGATGGGCGGGAAGGGGGGTCCCCGCTGCTCCCCGGGACACGGACACCCCCGCAGCTCCCGGGGAAAGGCCGGCGTTAGGGGAGGGAGGGGGGGTCACCCCGCACAGCCCCC